CTGGCAGAGAGCTCGCACACGTTCACGGCAAGCTCGGAGGAGACGCAGCCCCTGGCACAGCCCTACCACTACGTGGTGAGGGACACGGAGCAGAAGGGGTTCTGTCTGCACGATGGGCACCTGGTGGCCACCAGCCTGCAGGGTGCCAACGCTGCCCAGGAAGGTGGGTGCCCCGGGCGGGGGGAGGGGGAGACTCCCACCTGCGGGTGCTCCCACCACCCCGTCTCCTCATAGAACCCATCAGCGTGGTGCCCAACCCGCACCTGGAGCGCCGGCGTTGTCCCCTCATCGTGGGCATCCGTGGTGGCACCCTGGCCCTCTCCTGCGGCACTGGTCCCGAGCCCCAGCTGAAGCTGGAGGTGAGCTTGGGGGGTGTCACGGTGCGGAGTGGCCCAGGGTGAGGGGCACCCTGGGGTGGGGGCAACCCTAGGTGGGTCAACTCAATGGGCACCCCAAGGTGCGGGCACCCAGAGATGGGTCAACCCATGGTGGACAACTCAAGGTGGGTCAACTCAAGGTGTGCAACCCAAGGTGAGGGCACTCAGAGGTAGAACATCCCAAGGTGGGTCAGCTCAATGGGCAACCCAAGGTGCAGGCACCCAGAGGTGGGTCAACCCAAGGTGAGCAACCCAAGAAGGGGGCATCCTGGGGTGGTGGGCATCCAGAGGCTGGTCAGCCTCAGGTGGACAACCCATGTTCAAGATGGGGGCACCCTAGGATGGGACATCCCAAGGTAGACAAGCCAAGGTGGGGGCACCCAGAGGTGGGTCAATCCAAGGTAGACAACTCAAGGTGGGGGCACTCAGAGGTTGGACATCCCAGGGTGGGTCAACTCAAGAAAATGGGTCGACACTAGAGTGGTGGACATTGAGAGGTAGGTCAACACAAGGTGGACAACCCATGTCCAAGGTGGGGGCGCCCTGGGGTGGCGCATCCCAAGGTGGGTCAGCTGAAGGTGGACAACCCAAGGTGGTGATGCCCTGAGATGGTGTCACCCCAAAACGGTACCGCCCTGAGATGGTGTCACCTGGAGGTGGGGGGTTTCCCAGAGTGGTGTCACCCCCATGATGGCATCACCTAGAGGTCAACGTTCCTTGAGATGGTGGCACCCAGAGATGGTGGCACCCTGCGATGGGTGTTTCCCTGGGACGGTGCCACCCTGGGGTGGTGTCCCGGTGGTGACCCCCCCCATCCCACGACAGGAGGTGAAGCTGCTGGACCTGTTTAGGCGGGGGGCCGAGGCCACCCCCTACACCTTCTACAAGACCTTTGGTGGCTCCACGCACACCTTCGAGTCGGCCGCCTT